CATGAAAACTAACAGCAGTAATGGTTAACTTACATATGAAGGCTGCACTGCTGGGCTGAGACTTAAGCCTCTCTGGTTCTCCTCCTCTCAGCTTCCTGCCAACCACTTGCATCTAAGCGTTTACATGTTCGTCTAAGGAGGACAGTTTCACTGAGCACAGTCATGGCATCTGTGTCACTTGTAGTCTTCCAGCTGTCTTCTGTTTCTCTGCATGCTTCTAGGTCGTTAATACAGTGACTGCAATTTATCTAAACATATTCTGGTTTTAAACAATGAAGGAAAACTGATCAAATTCAGTAGTTAAGAGCAGCTATGTTACACTACTCTGGTTTTCTGCTGGTTAAAACATCTTTATTGGCCATCTAGTTCTCTTCAGTAGTCTCTGGTACAGGTAGATGCGTCCAGATTCAGTCTCAGGCAATGAACAGTAACAACGTACAAATTAATCCCCAGCTGATGATCTTAGTCCTATGTTGATTTAATTTTTATTAGGAACAATGTGCAAAAAATTGAATTCTTTTGTCCTGGGAAAAGTTTCTTTGTGCATGGCATGGCTTACAAGTCTTGTCATTCCCCAGCTTAGTTTAAGCAGGCAAACCTGACTAACTGTACATCTAATCTCAGCTAACGAACATGTGCATGCTGGCTTGGTCAGTCCAAGTGGTCTTGGCTGATGGTCAGCAAAAAACTGTTCTTTGAGAATATGGATTAGAGGGGAAGAAGTGCTTGGTGAAATGTTACAGCTGAAGTCTGAGTTACAGCAGACTTAAACGGCTGAACAAAAACCTATTTTCAGCAGAGAAACACTCAAAAATGGATGTTTGAGATACAGCTATACCCTGTATATGATCCTCTCTGAAACCCAGCGATCAGGGATGTGACAGGGTTTAACTGGAAGCTTACCTTCTGTAAATTATTTTTTTTCAGACTGCTTTGCAGTATCCTGTACTAGTGTACCTTTTTCCTAAAGGAAGCCAAAATGTATCTGGTTTTCTTATGTGCCAGCTAATAGTTGAGTAACTGATGATCTGTAACCATTCAGCTGTTCAAGCAGCTCACAGATTCAGTCCTGTATGGTGATTTCTGGCCAGCTTTGCTTAAAATAGTCTATATGCTACTTTCAGCTTGTATCTAGATATAAACCTAGTAAGGTCATGACAAGGTCCTGTTTCTTACTTGTGTGATGTATTATGAACAGTTTAGCTCCGTGTTCTGTAGATTAACTTTTCACAGATCAACTAGGTCAGCACACAGGAACAGGAACATGGGTGTGAGTCAAAAGAAAGGTAGACTGAAAAATTGTTTTCTTTCAGAGGAGATTCTCTGGAGGTGTTTCCAGAAGATCTGTTTCCCTGTATTGTAGCTAAAAGACTCCAAACTGTCCAAGGGTCTAATCTGAAACACCACTTTGCCTTTCAAATTAAGGACATCAGGTTCTTTCTTGCTCATGACCTGATCTGTGGACCATAAGTATTCTTAGCCCTGAAAAAATAAAGCATACTAGAACAAGCATATCCTATTTTACTGCTTTGAGAGGCTCAGAGTGCACGCATAATTTCTGCAGGTAGAATATATACTGCTATTTGTTGAGCTGTGGGAACTGTCTGACGTCTGAGTCTTTCAGGCCCATTTAAAAATGTTTTAACAGGGCACTCACTGCAAATAAAACGTAAGTCTTGTCTCTTTTGAAATTGCTGATCTAGAGTTTAGATTTGGTTCTTAGGGAAGAAAGTCTTAAATATTTGCTAGTGCCTTGAAAAGCTAGTGATTTGGTCCAGGATATGAATGAAAGCCATCTACTCCCATAAAAAGCAAGTATCTGCTAATTAATGCTGTATGAATCGGAAGAACTGCAAGAGATACTAAAAAGCAAAAGAACTTTCTACGTGGCCTCCTACAACCTAATGCTACAAAATAAACTGAATTCATGTCAAAACAATAGTGTAAGAAGTGGATGTATATAGGAAATGTTTGGGCTTGACCTTTTTAAATAATAACATTTAAATGGTATTTTGCTGAGAAGAAATGGCCAATTATGGGGAATTTCCTCTAGGGAAATTACATACAACATACATTGCATGTGCAATTAGGGAACATATACAGTAGTAACAGCGAAGTATTTCTCCTACATTCTATATTTAAAATATCATGTTTGATCCTCTAATTCCTGCAAAATCCTTCACTATGGTAAGATGTCTTTCAAGTGTTGCCAGGTGGATGCCTCAGGACATGACACAACATGAGAAGGACTGACAAAAACGATATGGTTCAAATAGGGGCTGAACACTGAATAGCACTAGTGCTTTTTGGACTATTGCCCAAGAAAGAGCTGCTGTGTCTACCAGAAATATAATAGTAATGTAGCTTTAGGACAGTATCAAGTATATGAACAATTACCCTGCTGAATGACAGCAGGAGGAGTGCAAAGAAAATGGAGGATCTCTTTCCTTGGTGCTAACTAACTCTGTAGCTTGGTGAAACAATATGGATCACCGTCAGAAAAGAAAGTCAGAAGAAAGATGTTAGTGTATGACAGCTGCTTCCTTTATCAGATTAAAAAATGGCTTAAAAAAATATATTTCTAGAACTGTCAAATGACCTATTTAATTGCTTCACTGAATTCTTCCCACTGGCTTGTTACTAAAACAGACAACATAACTAGCAAGCAGATGATACCGCATCTTGAATAAGCTTGTATCAAATACATTCTTTTGGAAGTGGGCTGCCTATTCCATCAGCATATACTTGCCATCCCATGAGGATGTCTGGGAGAGAGGGTTTGTTCCCACAATAGGTATAGCTGAGGGAAAG